CGGGGCTGGGCCGGCCCGGGCTCCCGCTGGCCCCTCGTGGGTCTCCAGCCCGACGTCCGGTGCTGGGAAGGCCCGCGAGGCAAGGCGACGCGCCAGCTGAGCTGTCGCACGTCTCCGATTCCGCTGTGTAGGGCGGGGGGGGATGCGGCGTCTTGGGGAATGGGGCCCTTGGGGTCGCAGAGCGCTTCCCCCGACCACTAGCCAGCCGCAGGAGGAACCGAGGTTCGGTTCGGACGGGAGGACCCTGGTGGGCTGTCGGCAGGAACCCGAAGCGAGATTATCCCTCTCTGCACGTGTTGCATACGCCGACATCGAAACTCGGCTGGTCTGAGGTCACTTAGGGATTTAGAGAACGGCTTCAGGGCTGAGGGGGCGTACTCTGTTAAATTCTAAAGAAAAAAAAATTTTCCTGCCTACTGTGGCCTTAAATAAAGTCAATTATATGTCTCTCAAATCTACACACTCATTAGGAAATGTAGGTTGCCATGAAACAATTTGAAGTTTATTAAGGAAGCCAAGAGACACATCACAAAACATTGCGTACCATGTGATCCCAGTTTTTAAAAACATAACGTGGAAAGAGAAAAGACTGGACACATAAACACTAAGATGCTAACTAGGTCTCAGTGACTGATGGAATTGTGGATGATTTTTTTCTGCTTAGTTCTAGTTTCTGATTTCTCTGTAAGGGACACGTTACTTCTGTAACTCAAAAAAAAAAAAAACAAATTGTAAATCAGAAAAAAATCTGGCACTTTTTCATTTTTTATCCCAAAATAAAATGACCAAGATTAACCCCTTTTCCCAAGAAATACATAGCAAACCTCTTTAGTTACTCAAAAATGAAACTACTGCAACTTTTCAGTGTTTCTCAGAACTTGAAACTTTTGTCCCTATGAACTGGAGGTTATGTAAATTGAAACTATCTTGAAGAAGCCCATTGGGACATTGGGATAAGACTGGACACTCTGTAAGAACAATAGCATGTTCTTGTCTGGGTTGATGAACTTGATTTTATTATGACCACAGAGGTCTTTATAACATTGCAGTACAGAATTGTAACTTACTGTAGAGAATTAACTTTATAAATCAAAAAGCACAGTCAGAGAACCAATTAACTGGCAACTTCAGAAGGTCCTAAAAGTTGCAAGGCACAGACTGTTTCTGATTGCACAAGAAGAATGTTTCTGTTCACCACACCTTTTTAGACATTCACTAGTCTAACAATAACCTCAGGGGATGGTTAAAAAGTAAATGTTTATTGATTTCTGTAAGAGATTGGTAATAAGCTCATTAAATTAATGCCACCTAAATTGTCCCTTGGTTTACTGACAAAGAGCAACCATATTTTTATAGCTTAAATGACAGGTTTATGTCAGAAGCTATTCGAGACGAAGAGAAAAATTGATTGCAAATAAAGTCTTTCCTTTCCACTTAGTCCTCAGTTCACAAGGCCCAATGGCTTCCTGTCAAGCATCTCAAAATCAGGGGTGTTTTCCCCAACCTGGATTTCAAGATTTTCCATCACTTAATTCCCCCTTCTCAAAGGATCCCATGCTCTTCCACTGCCTACCAATGAGATGACATTTAGTATTAGAAGGTACACTCCACAAGAGCAAGGATTTTATCTGAACCTCTGTGCTTAAAAGAGGGCCTGGCACATAGAAGTTGCACAATGAATACTTACTCATTAAAATGCATATTTATTCACTGTCTACTTGGCTAGTTCCTGAGATACCTGAAAAGTCATCTCTCCTGTGACACTGTCAGTGTAATCCTGGGACACTAACATGTTGTAGAGTTTATAGCCTTGGTTTAGTTTTGGAATTTTACACTTTTCTAAATAGCAATTAAGTCTGAGACATTCAGAGCAGTGAGGTGCAGGTGTCCGAAGACTTGTGCATTATTTATGCAATTAATACTATTTGTGGCTCTCTGAGATCAATCATACACTTTTCCCTATGAGAACATCAATCCTAGAATTCTTTGCTTTTAGTCCTAGCTTCTAAATAACTGACTTTGGACACTTCACCTATTTTTATAGTGTCTTAGTTTCTCTAACCTCTGTTAGGACCTCAAGACCATTTACTATTTCTTTAGAAAGACCAACTCTAACCATTCTATTGCCTAGTGGTATATTTTTTCAACAACCTCCTCAGTAGAGGTAAAATTGATTTTACCAGAAACCTACAGTAATTGCTCTGAAACAGAGGCTTCTCTAGACCTTAAAAGATAGTTATTTCTAAATTTAGAGTCAGCTATTAGTAGTCTCTCTCTTTACTAGTCACAGTGATCATAATTCATTGTAGACCAGCAAAACATCTGACCCAATAAGTTCACATTCTTAAGTTTTTGTCTCCATCCAGCAGAAGAAAACATGGTGGCAATGTATCTTAGGGTATCTGGGGCCTGCAATAAAATTCATTCCATTAAGTAATTTACCAAGCCTTCATACTGTCCCAGTTCCTGCCAAGCAGATCACTAAGAACTGGAAAGATATACATTTTGTGGGAAAAAAACCTGCAGTATTGGGGAAAATAAAAAGAGAGCATCCTAGTCACCTATAAATGTATGTGGAATGCAAACCCATTCTTCCCACAAGCTAGAGCTATAAA